CCTGAATAAGGTCACACCGAAGTTGCACCCCATCGTGGCTAGCCCGTCCACAATCTTGAAGGGCTGCGCCCGGCCAAAAAAATCTTTACTGTACTGGACATTGCCAGTGGATTCTGGACTATTCCACTCCATCATGACTCCCAAGATAAGTTCGCATTTACCGTCGGGGACAAGCAGTACATGTGGACCCGACTCCCCCAGGGATTCCAAAACAGCCGGCCATCTTTCATCGGGCAATGAGCGATATTCTCAGGGAAATCGAACTGCCCCACGGCAGCATGATACTCCAATATGTAGAATGCTATCTTACTGGGCGGGGGAGATCAACGACCCTCTACTAGACCTCCAAGCAAGTTGATTGGGAGCGCGGGAATTTGTGTGCAGGCGATATAGTCTTTGGAACATTGTTAACATAGACTGATAAGATACGGTTTTCGCCATTTGAGTTTAAACATGCTTAAGATGATGTATGTGGTCGCGGTGTTCCGTATTGTCATGGTTGCAGAGGTGTCGGGATTAGAGGATAACGTGTTTTACAGGACCCACATACATCTATACGGTAATCGGACCGTGTGCTACCCACTTGCCCAGTCAGTTGAAGCGTTGTTTGTAGCTACCCCTGGGTGGACCCCCTTGACCTATACACAGCAGATACGTTAGACGCACCCTGTGCGGGCCGAACTGGTACATATCGACGAGGTATACAAGGGAGATGTGTAGAGCTGATAAACTCAAAGTCCCCCGATTGTGCAGGAACTCAGGGAAACAACGGCACAATATGTTCAAACCCACTAAGTTACCCGCTTTGCTTCTCAGGACAGGGATGGGGGTGTGCGTACCCTCTAGTCCCCAAGAACGCCTCCTGTGCGCAGACGCAGTGCTCCCGCCGGCATTGCCAAATGCACAGAGGCCTGTTTACGTGCACTTGTGATGAGCAACAATGTCTAAACGTAACTGCAGGTAGACAGTTTATTTGTGGACAGTGCAACTGGACCCATGTTAGTTCAGCCGCATGGACGTACCCATTTGATACGTACCAACTGGGTGGGGTCAGGCAGAAACTCCAGCCAGCCAGGGAACTGGTGGTACAAACAGTTCATGCAGGAAAATAATCAGGAGGTCAAATGCTATCGAGCCAAAAAAGGCTTTGTGTTCCTCCTCAATGGGACCTTCACAACAGCCATACCAACCCTCCCAGTCCTCTTTGCAGTAGGGACAATAGGACCGCTTACCGTCCCGTGCCCCCAGAGAGGACACACCCGTAGGAAGATAGTGACCCGAGCCATTAGCGAGAAATTCTGTGCAGACTGGGAGGACTCGAGAACACTGGGCTAAGGGTTCCTCGGGGCCCTGTCTCTGGGGGGAGCAGCGGGAGTCATTAGTGCCAAAAATAGGAACAACCTTGTCTGTGGGCTGACCATCCTGGGAAATAGCACGGCAAGGGGGTTGGATGCTATAAACCGAGAGCTTGCTGAGTTACGACTCTATGCGCAGCAGACCCGGTGTGCCGTCGATTACCAGTTAGTCCAGCAGGGCGGGGTGTGCACGATAGTAGGAGACAAGTGTATAGCACACGTTACGGATGAGTCCTATAACATCACCCAGGCCATTAACAATATCTGTAAACAGCTTGATGCCTTCAGGCAAGGCCCCGGGAAGGCTCTTTGGAGGGGGGAGGGAGGGGGGGGGGGGGGGGGGGGCCCGTACCTCCTGCATGCCTTAATTATATTGATTGTCATCATTGCTGCTTGCTGTGTTGTTATGGCTGTCTTTAATTCATGCTGTAAAACACTGACTGCCAGAATTATGCACGGTGCAAGTGTCCATACCGACGAGACTGTTGCGCGCCCCTTGATGGGTGGCTCAGGGACATTTGAACAATGGCTGTAAGTGGTCTAGAGGCCATGAGTACTCAGGACTCTGGCCACAAAGGGGGGACTGAAGGAGTAAGTAAAGTGATTAACTTACTGAAGGAATAAGTAAAGTGATTTACCGAAGGAAGAAGTAAAGACATTAACTTTTAAAGACATTAACTTACTGAAGGAGGAAGTAAAGAGATCAACAACACAAAGGACCTTTAGATTGAACTTTACACAATCAAGATGAAACATCCGCTGAAACAACAAATCCTGTCCCGACAACAATAGAAGCGCTAACTGTCACCCGCTTTGCAAGACGCCGGGAACAGATTAAAGAACTGTGTACATGACTTGGTGGGGGGGAGGCGGTGGAGGGGGTGGTTGGCGCGTGACAGCAAATGTATATAACCTTTGAAATCGTCTGTAATAGCTGAGAAGTTTGGTGAGGTCCCTGCTTCTCCCAAAAGCTTTTGTTAATAAAGCTGTGTCTGACTCACTGTAGAATCGTACTTGGTAATATTTTACCAACAACAGGTGGATTGGCCATGCTAAATTGCCCCATAGTGTCCAGGGATGTGCAGGCCAGGTGGATTAGCTATAGAAAATGAGGGTTACAGGGATAGGGTGCGGGGTGGGTCTAGATGGGATGCTCTTAAATGTTGGTGTGGATTCTCGATGGGCTGAATGGCCTGCTTCCACACTACAGGGATGGGGCAGGCAGACAAAGCCAGCGTTGGAATAGGGGCAGGGAAGGGATGACAGTAAACCAAAAATGTAAAATGATATTAGGTGAGCATCTTATAGCGACAGTTTATTACCAAAGAATGTTCCAGTCTCTCATCATCCTGCATCACAACAGGAACAAGACACTGCCACTTGTCTGGGCTCCAAAAAGACCATCTGTATGAGCGCAACAGAGAAACTTCTGTGACCAAAGAATGGTTAGTACGGACAACCTGCCTCACCAGAAAAGTTGAGAAAATAGCATAAAATACTTCTCTTAAGAAGTTAGCACATAGATGAGCATGAAAGGACTCGGATTTGTTGATTGTCTTGAAGGAAGTAAGTTGGAAAGAGACTCATGTGGAACATAAACACTAGGGTAGCCAGGAATTGTTCAACATGTCTGACAGCATCTACACAGACTAGCAACCCTACCAGGACATTTTACATCATTCAGTTTCAACAGCTTTCATTTACTCTTAAAGTAATATTCAAGCATCGCTTAATCTCATTTGCACTGAAATCTTTCAGCTATCAGTTGATATCAATTGTACTAAAGATCATAGATAGTAGGTGCAGTTTGACACGCTTCCCCACGCACCTACACCATGTGAGTTCAGAGGTGGTGGGAAGGGTCATTGGGAGGTTGGCATGTGAAAACAAAGGAGATCTCACATGGAGTGTGAATGTCTCTAGGCAGCCTTCCTTTGTGGAGGCTAGCAGAGCTCCTTAGAAGGCCACCCTTGCCAGCAAGCCCATTGAGCTCACACTCACCTCTATCCAAAGATCCATCACCAATCTTTTCTGCAGGCTCTACAGCAATTGCCATTGTTCCCAGTGGCTCAAAGAGGCAATATGTACTGGGGACTGAATTGAATAAGAGACCCCCACTCTAGCTGGGTCAGCTCCTCATTGCAATTAAAGAACATCAGGCCTCCCCAGAGGATAATGACATGGAATTTCAGAGCTGTTCTTCAACTTGTAAATGAGGCATTCATCACCCACATTAAATTCTATGAAGGAGTTGATGCCTTTTTGATGGGTAATCAACTTATAATGTAGCCTCTGTTTCCTTCACCACCATAGACCTTTTGACTATTTTAGAGTTTCATTTCATAATTCTATCATCTGCGGGACTGGGTAAGGTCTGATCAACCAATGGCCTGTTTCTCAAAGCTGGTCTGTATCTGGGAATCAAAGGGGATGTGTGAAAGGAGAAAAATGTTCTCTCTATTAAATAGATAAAAGAAAATAAGGAAGTGAAGGTTACCAAGCAAATTCACAGTTACTCATTCCTAAGAGATAACTGAAGAATGAAAATCATTTGGCATTACGGATGAGAGCACATGGGAAGGGGAGAATATCCATGATGATGTGATGTGTCTTGGTCTTAAGCTCTTATGCATAAATTGTGCACAATCAAAATGAGCTTTCAAATTAACCTCTGGTTTATTACAGGATTAACCAAATAAAGGTCCTGAACACTGCACTCCAGCAACTCTACCCTGTATTGCATAGTGCTACATTAAGCAGGTTTAATTACAGTTTACAAATCCCTGATGAGATTTCTGTTCATGAGTTTTGGGATCAATCTCTTGTGCTGTGTGTAAATGATCACATTAGTGTGTTCATCTATAAATCGTATTGTTCAATCAGATGGCCCTCTGTGTATCGAATCTGTTTACTTAAAGGGAACTCAACATTAAAGAAGCTTTGTGTTGTTCTTTTTTTAAAAAAGAAAATCTTGCTTTGTCTCTCTGGTTTTGTCTGCCCATCCGATTATCATGCAGAACTAATCAGCGGGTCATGAATAAGGGCTGACAATGAAGTTCGAGTTTCACAAAAGAACAAGCTCTTTTCTCAGGCATGCATGGCACAAAAGTTTCTCAGTTTCAGATATGCAGATGTATGTATCCACAATGTGTCATATATGTGAACCCATCTTGAACCCTGCGGACATGTCTATGATTAAGCTCATCGCAATAACTGATGGTATTCTGCCAATAACCAAGGAGCTATAAGTGCCAACAGTGCACTGCACACAAAAAAACGACAGCATTTTCTTATACTACAAGGGAATGAAGTAAACATTACAAGGGATGGTTAGAGGCACACAGGAACTAGGCATGAGTCTCTCTTTCCAAGCTGATGCATTCTTTATTAAATCAGTACTTCATGGATTAATATCTTAAATTACACTTTAAGTTAATGCGTAACATATTGGATCAAAACTTCTTCTGTAGGAGGAACTCAGCATGGACGAGAAATAAGAAAATTTGGCTGAGATGTAGGACTGCAAGCTTTGATATTTATTGCTGCTGTGCTTTGGTTGCCCCCATCACCTTAAGACGTGCTTACTTTCTTTCACTTCTCTGTGGTTCACCGAGCAAATCAACAAGCAAAACTTGGAAAACTCACCCACAGAACATCACAATGTTGTAGTGCGAGGGGTTGTCTGGTAGAGGCATGGTCTGCTGCAGGCACAGTTGCTCACAACCGCCATTCATCCCGTCTGAACAATCAATACCAATGTGTCTGTCATAACAGCCAGAGCCATCTTTCATCGGGCTGAGTCCCAGAGGGCACTGCAGGGAAAATAATGGGGCAAGAATAGTTACAGAATGAAGAGGCAGCCTACTGTGCATGTAATAAACTAAGAATGATAGGATTGAAAAGGTGCGTCCATTATAAGCAAGCAATTTTGTTAAGTGAGTGACTTTGATCCTCTGCAGTGCTGCTTCTCCTTTGACCAAAATAACAATGCATCAAAGCAATCTTTTACCCTTTTCAATTTTTTATGCAGCAGACTTTATCAGTTTTATCTTTATGGTCTCAAAACATCTTTTTGATATTGTTACATCAATCAGTGCCCTCTGATGAGGGATACTGTGGTGATTTCTGCCTGTAACAAAATACAGGGATCAAGTTGAAAATTAGAAGCCAACTGAAGGACGTGGATAGTACTTATTACTAATCTGGTACCACTTTCCCTCTGTAAACCCGACTTCTAGCCAGGTTTTTTAACATTGAAGTCTACATTCGAAATGTATATCAAGAAAGTAAACATTTGAAGTGATCATATTTGCAGTCAGTGTTGTTTCAGACTGCAGGCACTGGTGGGTATTTCCTCCTTCTGGTTTCCACCTTTTGGGCTCATTGGCCTCCTCCCAGTCTTCATTTACCCCTTCCCACCATCCTGACTCTTGACTTTCTCCTTATAAGTTTAACGTCTATCCTAAAAGGTATCTTTTCCGCATTCTTGCCCTCTGTGAGCGACTAATATTTAAACATTCTTTCAATCCCCAGTGACATTTTTTTTCTCAGACCCCTGCTCTGGCATCATTCCCTCTTAACTACATCCCTTAGGAACTCAGATAAAGAGATAGATTTAGGGCCCAGGCACAAGGCAGAATTCTGTGCTGACAACAAAGGGTCTTGGGTGCTGACTGGAGAGCTGGCAAGAGACACACAACATCTCTTTTTAGCAAACCTGTCACACCTTGTTCCACTTAGACTTTGGTTCCCTGAACCAAGGAACCCTGGGACAGAATTCAGCAAAGGAGGTCAAGAACCACTACAGTTATAGCACAGAAGGAAACCATTCACTCATCATGATAACATCAGTTCTATTACTGAAAAACAGATAAAGAAAGGGAAAGAGAAAGTAGGTTATTAATATTAACTAGGAAGACACAAAAACGGACTGTAAAAGCTCTGAAACACATTTAAACAAGGGAAGGTTTAGCAAAGACTAATGTGGGCCCACAACAGGCAGAGAGAGGAAAATTTGTAATGGGGAATAAGGGAAAGGGAGGGAAATTAAAAACAAAGCAATTATGATTTTTTTTGGGTCTGAACATACAAATATCCTCCCAGAAGTTCTAGAAAAACATGCAAATAGTTAGAATGCAGAACTGAAAAAAACAGTATCAGTTTTAAAAAAAAGCACTGGAAAAATGAAAGGTATTAAAAGTTGATATAATCCTGGACCTATGGATCCCAGAACATTGAAAGAGGTAGATATAATGGTTGTGATTGTGGTCATTTTCCAAAATTCTGTAGATTCATGAATAGATCCTACAGATGCAGGAAGCAAATGTAACCACACGATGATGTGAAAGGAGGGAAAGAGGAAATAGGGAACTAGAGACCTATTAGTCTGATGAGGGAAAATGTGAGAATCTCTTATAAAGTATGTGATAGCTAGACACTTAGAAAACAACAATACGACTGTTTAGAATTAAATGGATTTATGAAAGGAAAATTTTTCATGATAAACCTGCTGAAATATTTCAGTTTGTAACTATTTGAAATAGTTAATAGGAGGTGGTGCGGAAGTGGTCTATTTGCATTTTGAAGAGGCTTTTTCTAAGGTCTCACAAAGGTTAGTAAGCAAAATTTGAACACATAGGATAGGGAGGAATATGCTGGCACAGATTAAGAATTGGTTCAAGAAACAGAAAACAAAGTCAGATTAAACATGTGATTCTCAGGGTAGCAGGCTGTGGCTAGTGGGGTACCATAACAATCAGAGCTTGTGCCCTCTTATAATTTATGTCAATATTTTACATGTGTGGCCCAAAAGTCAATGCCATAAGATATTGGAGCAGGATTAGGTGATTCAGTCAATTGAGTCTGCTCTGCCATTCATTCATGGCTGACATGTTTCTCAACCTCTTTCTCTTACCTTCTCTCCGAAACCCTCGATCTCCTTACTAACCAAGAACCTATCTACCTCAAATCTTAAATACACTCAGTGACTTGGCCTCTATATAGCCTTTTGTGGCAATTCGTTCCAAAGAGTCACCGCCCTCTGGCTGAAGAAATTCCCCCTCATCTCAGTTCTAAAGTCATCTTAGTCCTCCCTTCCGTCTGAGGCTGTGCCCTCAGGTCCTAATCTCTCCTATTAGTGGAACCCTGTTCTCCACGTTCACTCTATCAAGGCTTCTCAGTATTCTGCAAGTTTCAATCAGATCCCCATTCAACCTACAATCCACTGAGTGCAGACCAGAGTCCTCAATCATTCCTCATATGACAAGTCCTTCGTCCCCTGGATCATTCCTGTAAACTTCTGGGCTCCCTCCAACACCAACGCATCCTTCCGTAGATATGCGGCCCAAAACTGCTCACAATACAGTCATTCGTCTGTATCCAAAGGGTTCCACTCCTAAGAATCCCCATGAATGATGAAATTTGAGAGTGGGCAGCTCAATAAAAATAGGTCAGAATGGCTAAAAACATCACAGATGAAGGACGTTTGTTGTTAGTTATTTTTTCATGCAGATAAGCAAATTCGTAATTTGTGATTTTGCAGATACAGAGGATTTACTGTACTCTAAATGCGGTTTGACCAGAGCTTTATACAGCCTTAGCTGTACATCTCTGTCCTTGTATTCTAGCCCTCTTGAAATGCTAACATTGCATTTACCTTTTTAATTGCTAACTGAACCTGCATGATATCCTTAACAGAGTCCTGAACTAGGTCTCTCAAGTCCACTTGTGCTTCAGACTTCCGAAGCATTTCTCTGTTGAGAGAATTGTCTAGGCCTCTATTCTTCCTATCGAAGTGCATCACCTCACTTTTCCCACATTGTATTCCTTCTGCCACTTCTTTGCCCACTCTCCTAACCTGTCCAAGTCCTTCTGCAGCCTCCCCGCTTCCTTAACACAATCTGCCCCTCCACCTATCTTTGCACCATCTGCAAACTTAGCAACAATGCCCTCAATTCCTTCATCCAGATCATTAATGAATAACACGAATAGTCATGGTCCCAACACAGATCCCTGTGAAACTCCACAAGTCACTGGCTGTCATCCTGAAAAAGACCCCTTTATCCCCACTCTCTTCATTCTGCCAGTTAGCCAATCCTCTATCCATGCCAGTACCTTGCTCATAGCACCATGAAATCTTACCTTATTTAGCAGCCTCCTGTGTAGCACCTTCTCAAAGGCCTTCTGAAAATCCAGTTCACGTCCACTGGCTCTCTTTTGTCTAAATTGCTCGTTACCTCCTCGAAGAATCCTAACAGATTTGTCAGGCATGACCACCTCTTGAAGAAGCCGTGCTGACTCCACCCCATTTTACCATGCACTCCCAAGTACTCCGTAATCTCATTCTTAATAATGCACTCTAAAATCCTACCAATATCCCAGGTTGGGCCGTTTGGCCTGGAGTTTCCTGTCTTCTGCCTCCCTCTCTTTTTAGTAGAGATATTGCATTAATAACTTTCTAGCCCTCTGCGACACTCCCTGGTTCTGGTGATTCCTGAAAGATTAGCACCAATGGAAACAATCTCCTCAGCTATCTCCTTTAGAACTCTGGTGTGTAGTCCATCTGGTCTAGGTGATTTATCCATGGATATAATAAGGCTAAAAATGGGAAGGTTTTGCTGGCTCTAGCTGCCTCCTTTGTGCCTGATTAAATGCTTTTCTTTGTCACCAAACCTTCTGCAGGAAAGACCACAAGATTCTGCCCTTGGTGTGAACCCAACACAGGAATAACCTGGAGTTAATATGATGCTTTTCAGTCAGTTGACATATTAACATGGGCCAGGCCCACGAAGACTCTCTTTCTCCTCATCTCAGACACCAGGGTTTATTGGTGCCCACCTGAAAGACCAGACAGAGCCTTGATTCAGCATGTTCTGAAAATACAATGCAACCTCTGACTACGCAGCACTCCCTCTAATGATACTGTCTTGTATCTGAAGTGAGGTTTATGCTTGCATTTCCAAGATTGATTCAGACAAAGCGCATCAAACTGAATACCCAAAGACATGTACTTGTATAGAAGGTCACTTGGGAGTCAGTTACCAGCTGGAATCTACTTGAGGTGTTCACATATGGTTAATAGACATTGTGCTACAGACCAAAATCTAATTGAGTATCAGACATAACCACAAGTTCAAAAAGCGTGACTTTCAAGTCAGGTCTTTTCCCCAGGGTGGCCGAGTCCAAAACTTAAGGGCATAGGTTTATGGTGAGTGGGGAAAGATTTAAATGGGACCTAAGGAGCAACTTTTTCACGCAGAGGGTGGTGCATGTATGGAATGAGCTGTCAGAGGAAGTGGTGGAGGCTGGTACAATTGCAATATTTAAAAGGCATCTGGATGGGTAAATGAATAGGAAGGGTTTACAGGGATATGGGCCAAATGCTGGCAAATGGGATGAGATTTATATGGGACATCTGGTCAGCATGGACGAGTTGGACCAAAGGGTCTGTTTTCATACTGTATATCTTTATGATTTATGACTCGAAGTCATTCAAATAACAAATAGATTATTGTATTATGGTCAATCACTATTTATATTCATGTACATTATAAATTTGCCGTGACTTACTCAGTTTTGGGTTCTTGTGGCAGTGGCAGCTTTCAATCATAGATTGACATTATTATTACTGGATGTCGGTCAGGAATAATTTACTGACTGTAGGAGTCAGTTATTTAAGTGCTGCTGCTATATAAAGAAACAAATCAGATCATGAAAAATGAATGTATATTAAGTGCAGAAAACAGTGTAGTCTTTCTTGTTGCCTCGGCAACCTTGTAAATCTGCTGTTATTGATGGCTTGAAAAATATATCA